TCTTAGATAGAGAAAGAAATAGAACCAAGAAAAAGATAAAGAACAAAATATTATTTAGTGCAATATAAAGCACTCAAGGCTAAAAAAGGAAAAAAATATAGAGGACAGGATTTATGTGTGCATAAGATTTTAAATCAGGACCTAATGAGTAATAAGTCTCAAAAGTAGGACCGACTAATAATGAAGGCCTATTTATTTTGGCAAAATTACTAGCCAATCCTATTAGTTTGAGCAATGACTCAACAAGTCCAAAGTAAACTTTTTAGTGTAAATGACACTAAACCCCCTTCAACTATAACTCATTTTTGAGTTGCTCCCTTCATGTTTAAAACTCAACACTTAACCCTTTTTTAAGTATATGAATCATAATGTTATAAACACTGTTAACAAAAATTATTAATTTACTACTGTAGCGTTTGATCATTATCTTCTTAAGCCAATACCATCTTTTTACCTAAGACCCCCACCCAATGTTTTGAAAATCGGACTAAATCAGCTAGTTTAACCAGTTGAACCGTCAATCGGTCCATGGTCTGATCCGGATATACCCTCTAATCCGTTCCCTCTTGAAAACTGGTCATTTTAAACCAGACGAACTGGTTCGGGTTAAAGCAAATTGGACCAGTTTGGTCCAATATTAAAAAATTTAATGCTAAAGAGACTTGAGCTCAACATCTCAAGCTCCAAAGAGCATGAATTTCCACTCTATCACTATAGTTCCTTGTTAATGCATAGGAAATATATAATATTTATTATATTCAAACTAATTTCCCTCAAACACATGTATAATTAAATATTTTACAAACAATATTAATAAAAAAACACATATAAACATATTTGTTTGATGAATATATATATATATTAAATTATAAAAATATTCATAAAATAATTATGACATCACAGTTCGATTCTAACTCAACTTGCCAATTGAACTAGTGATTCATCCACTAGATCCATTTTCCGATTCGTTTACCGATCTAGTTTTTAAAACATTACACTCACCACCTACTTACAAACAAGCCTCTTCTCTCTGCCTACCATTTCCCCACCACTCACCACCTCTACCTCCACCTCCACCTGTTGCCACAACTTTCCTCTATCACCTCACTTTCTCCCACAACTACTTGTTTTTTGTGATTCTATTTGTATAAAAATGACTACCAACATTTTTATATATTTCGAATTTGGATTGCAGCACTCCGAATGAATTGCTACTTTATACTTCCAGTACATTGCCTCATCTCACCACTACTCACTGTATTCTTTTCCCCTTCTAACCACCTCATTTTCCCCTACACCGACTGCCTCCCCTGCCTTATCTAGTCCCTTTAGTCAATTGCCACCACCAACTACACCTTCTTTTTCCCCCACTTCATTTTCCTTTCACCACCCAATTCGACATCCTCCCCTTACCCTCAATTGGTCAGTCATATGCCACTCACATGACATGCTTATAGCGATCCCGGTTGCCCTTTTACTGTTCTGTTGTATTCCGGACTCGGTTCCGTGAAGTTGGTAGTTGTATCTATCTTGTTGTCGTCCTTTAATTCCACTTGATTGAGTTTTAGGATGTTTTGGGCGGGGTTGTTATAGGTTGGTTAGGCCTTGGTTTCAATTCCTTGTTGCCCGGTTTTTAGACGGTCTGCTCGAGCGGGTCTTCTTGCGCTCGAGCGGGGATTGCACATCTCCGGTATTTCGTGTTCCTGCAAAACTTCTGCAGGTGTGATTTCTACGCTCGAGCGGTGGTGCTCGAGCGGGTTCCTTGACGCTCGAGCGGGTAATACTTTCTGGGTATCAGTTCTGGGAGGGGGAAATCTACGCTCGAGCGGACTGGTTTTCGCGCTCAAGCGGATGTGCTTTATTCTTGTGTCTTGGCGTTCGAGCGGGTACTTTTGCGCTCGAGTGGACCTAGTTTTTGTTCTTGACGCTCGAGCGTTGTGTTTTTCGCTCGAGCGGGAATGTCGTATATCAGTTGGCTGTGAGGTAGTTTTAAATCACTTTTTCTCATCCTTTCTCTCTTTTACTTTTCCGAAAAAGCCATTTGAGAGCCTCTCTCTCTAAAACTTTGCCTTCTCTCTAAGTATTGATCTAGCTAGGGTGCTTTTCTCACCTTTGGCCTTTACAAAAGAGTTGTTGATCGTCGAGGGCTATCTTTTGATCCGAGAAACTCGTGGTTTGGAGCAAGTTCATTTTCATCATCATCTTCGTTGGGTGTCATCTTTTGAGGTAGGGGTACCTACTCACTCTTATGGTCTTTGACCTAGATTTTTAGTTGTTTTGATAGAGTGTTGAACTTGGGAAATTTTGGGACTTAGGGTTTCAAAATGTGTAAAAAGGTATTGGTAGTTTTGATAAAGTGTTGAAGTTGGTTGATTTTGGGACTTAGGGTTTCAAAAGGGTATAAATGAGGGTTTGATATTTTGATTCTTAAACATGTATTTTGGGTTTCAAAATAATGATGTTGTTGTTGGTTGTTGATATATAGGCCATTGGGTCAATATTGGGAAATGGGGTAGAAAACCCTAATTGGTGGTATAAATTAATTGGTATGATTAATTTGGGAAAATTGTGAACTTATGGAATTGAGTTGGAAATAATGAAATTGATTTATTATATAGTAAAATGGTGGAGTTGGATTTATTAATCGCTTACTTTTGAAAACATTGATATTTTATCTGTTGGAGCTTTTATTATCTATTTAGAAATAATTGCTTGGGCTACCGGTGGAGGGTAGTTTTGATTGTTGTAGACAATGCATGATGATTAGGCAAACTAAAACTAATCAATTGGATATGTCATAGAGTATGACGGTTGATAGAATACATTAACGTTATGTATTGATTGATTGCGTATATGACCTTTGTGTATATATGTTGTGTGTGTGGAAGGAGATAGGGGATATACTCCACGGTTTAGGGGAAGATAATGGATGGACCTCTAAACCGGATGTTGTTTGGGAGGAGATAGGGGACGGACTCCACTGATATAGCTCATATGCTTGTCAGATAATGTGTTGATACAGCTCATATGCTTATCATTGGAAGTGTTGATACAACTCATATGCTTGTCATTGGAAGTGTTGATATAGCTAATATGCATATCTGTTAAAATGTGGATACAACTTGTATGCTTATCTGTTGAGATGTTGATACAACTAATATGTTTATCTACTGTAAAAATGGAAAATGTTTAATATGAATCATTGTCTCATATAAGTGGTTGGCCAGGTTCTGAGCCATTGATGTAAATTGTGGAATTGGCAAGAAATGAAAACTGAAACGAAACATGAACACAGTAGTCATGGAATGGATATGGATTATGGATTGGTTCATGAAAATTGAACATTTATCAATTGCTAATGTCTTAGTCATTGCTTATACTGTGTTTAGCATATTTCTACTGGGCGTTGGCTCACCCTTTATGGGACATTATTTTCAGGTGCAGGTAGTATGCCACATCCAAGGACATAGCTTGGATGATGGTGAGAGTTGAAGACTCTTCTTTTATTTATTTTGATGTATTACATGTAAATTCAAGCCAAGGGCTTAATATGTATTGAGTTAGTACTCTTCCTTTTTTGTAACCAAGTGTTAACACTTAGAAAGCTGTAAGCCCTTAGGACATTTGCTTTTGTTGTTAACATGTAATACTTTTGTAATGAAGTACTCTGATGAATCGAAGAATGTGGATCGTTTGTATATAAATGTATGTTTATATTGATGGGTTTAATGTCATTATTTTGAGGGCGTTACAACTTGGTATCAGAGCGTACCGGGTTTGAATACTTTGGGTACGCGGGAAGTGGTTAGTACCACAATGGGTTTGTCTCGCTTGTTAGAGACTTAAGTATAGATGTTATGTGCTTATATGATGACATGCCTATGTGATTAAATGGGTATGAGATTTAGTTCCTAAGATGTTGATTGGGTCTACAGGTTTCTGGAAATCCTATTGAAAGAGCACTTGATCACTGCTGTTTCTAATTGGAACTCTAGCAATGCCGCGGGACAATCACTATTTAGGAAGGAAATTTGTATGTGTTTATGTGATTATGTGCTTATGTGGAGTGAATTACAGTTGTCCATCGTATTAGGACGTGGGTGAATTAGCTTCGGCATATTTGTAAATGTGCTAATGTCTATCGTTACCTTTATTAGGATGTTAAGGTGTTATAGCTTCGGCACATTTGTGAATGTGCTAATAGTCTTGGTTACCTTTATTAGGATGTCAGGACGAGGGCGTGGTAGGCGTGGCAGGCATGGTAGGCAGGAGGTACCTATATCAGATGACGTTCCGGCAATGAGTATGATACTTAGGCCTCGTTTGGCAAGAGGCTATTTTAGCCAAAAGGCCAAAAAGTTACTAAAAAAACCAAAAAGCCAACAACTCATACAAAAAAGTCAAAGATTCCCTTTTTTCTCTACTTTTTGCACATCTTTTCGTAAAAAACCAAAAAGTCATCCCAAACATACTAGTTTTTTTTACATCACATTTTAGCCAAATAGCCAAAAAGTTACTAAATTAGCCTGTTCCCAAACGAGGCCTTATTTAAAATTTTTAAATAAGTTGAGAGCGATCGTAACTTAGAGTAAATTTCACAAAAACTAACATATGGAATTTTTGATAGTTTATCGTTTGGAATAATGGTAAAAATTATTTTACTGTTTTTTTTTTGAAATATTATAAGTTTAAATTTTTTACTAGATAAATGACTAAATTTGTGACATGAGTATCCTATGTAAGACATTTGATTATTTATTTAATAAAAAATTTAATTTGCGTAACATTGCTAAAAAGTAAAAGGAAAATGTCTCGTAACTCAAATTTTGTGGCTCAAAAATGGCTCAAATGGCCAAAACGACATCGTTTTGAGTACAGAACATCGTTTTGACTATTTAAGCCACTTTTGAGCCACAAAATTTGAATTACGTAGTATTGTCGAAAATACAAATTGTAAATTACACGCGGAAACAAACGGAGCTAACTGTAATTTACAAGTTCGGTCATACATTCCCGCCGAGCCTAACTGTTTCTAAAGGGAAAATCTCTATCCCGCCATACCCAACTGCCTCTGGAGAGACCTCTCTCTCTCTCTCTCTCTCTCTCTCTCTATATGGTTTGAAGCAAATACACACTACATCTTGAAGATTCTTGTTCTTTCTCTCTGTCTGGGGTCCATAGCCACTTGCAATTTCTTGCAAAATCAATGGCGATGACCACCAAAGACCACACCCCTATCGAAATCAAGGCACCACAGCCCCGTGTCTCCATTGATTTCGCTTCAGACGAATTGGGGAGAGAACAGAGAGTCCCCTTCTTCAGACCCTTATCGCAGAGGAGAGAGAACACTTGGATCATCTCTCTCTTCGTCATCCTCCACCTTGTGGCTTTCGCAGCCACCATGATCGTCAACGACTGCTGGAAAAACTCTCACCGCGATTGCGCCCTCAAACCCCTCGGACGACTCTCATTTCAGCCACTCTCCGAGAATCCCCTGCTCGGCCCCTCTTCTTCGCGTCAGTCATTTTCTTCTTCTCTCTTGCTTTCTCTATTTGGGTTTAGTGTTCTTGTTCTTATTTTGGATATTCTTGCCTGAATCTTTGTGTAATTGGGTTTCATTCTGCATTATTTCATCTGGCTTCTTGTTACTTTTCTTTTTCCCTCATTTTCTGATTGTCCAAACAGAGTATTTCGTTAATTTTGGACTAGTTCTTTTGCCAATTGTGTGTGTTTTCAGATTACTTTCTTGTTTTGTTTGACACGTAGGCAGAACAACACTGTTTCATGTCCATTTTTCTCGTTAGTTTACTTGGATTAGGTTTTTCTTGCACATTTTCTTTGAATTTGGAGAACTAAAAGCACTATCCATTGCACATGAATTGATATGTTGTGAATTAGGGTTTCTAACAACTTTTTGTTGTTAATGCATATGGTTGGTTTTTGTTTTGAATCTTAAGCTATTCGTGCTTTTATATATGGTCTTTTCCATTTGGTTTTGAGAAAAGTTGAATGGAAAGAAAATGAATGGTTATAGTTGCCTGTTAATTAGGGCTTCCGGAAGATTTATTTTGATGTGCTTTTGGTTAGTTGCGGCTCTCAAATTTTGGGAATTTTCTGTTTTACTCCCATTCGGTTGATGAGAAAAACTATGTTAAATAAATAAAAAAAACAAAGAAAAAGTTATTGCTGGTAATTTTGTGTTTAACTAATATCCTCAAAACTTAGATAAAATTTTTTTTTTTGGGTGTGCTTTTTGATTTATTTCTGCTGTGATATTTTTGGTAGCATCTAACCAAAACTTTCTATAGGAACTAAGGTTTTAAAAAACGGTCGCAATCGTTATGTAACGCCGTTACATAATGGTTGTAGTGATTTGCAGTGTGAGTGAGATTTACAGGTGTGTTGACTGTAGCAGTCGTAACGGCTGTAACAACCTGTTATGCACCGTTACGTAACGGTTCCGAACTGCTTCTTTAAAAAAAAAAAAAAAAAAAAACTGAAAATGGGAGAAGAGGGATAGAGAGAGAAGAGGGAAGATGAAGAGGGAAGATAGAGGAGCAAGAGATAGAGAGAAAGAAGAGGGAAGATGAAGAACATGTTATTGATTTGTTGAACCTGTAAGACCTATGCTATTCTATTCAGCTGCTATCACTCAATCATTTTGTTTGTATGTGTCTATCTATATATTATTTGAAAATAATAATAATAATAATAATAATAATAATAATAATAATAATAATAATAATAATAATAATAATAATAAGTGTGGTCATTATCTATTTGGCTTGATTAAAAAAAAAAAATATATATATATATATTTAGGCTCTTATTTATTCTATTATTTTTGTCATTGTTTATCTCATATATAATAGTAAGTGATTGATTTTTTTGGCAAAATATCTAGAAAACATAACACCTATAATTATAAATTTGCATATGCTTCCACAAGTATAATAATTAAAAAAATAATTTTATACATCTAACTCCAATAGTATATATATTTTTGCCACAAACGTAATATGGATTTATGACATATAAAATCATTAATTATTAAAATAAAATATAAAAAACTCAGTTTATAGTGATATAAAAATATGAAATATATTAGGTCATATTTAAAAATTTACAAAAATTTGTCAATATTTATTTTAAAACCCAATAAATATGATGATAGAAAAAAATATGTGTATCGGTAAATTTTTTTCAAATTGGGTGAAAAATAAAAAAATTTATGGTTCCGGTTACTGCAATCATTACGCTGTGGCCTTTACATTTCACAACCGTAACCGCAACCGCAACCGCCACCGCCACCGCCACCGTTACGGTGACCGCAACTGCTTTTCAGAACCTTGGTGTCTCTTATGCCATGTTTTCATGGATATGGGGGTGGGATACGACTATTTTATATTGGGATAGGCCCACATTTGGTTCACATTTTTCAACCAGCGATAACTTATTCTGGGGGTCCTTTTATCCCACCATCATAGAGACTTATGTTTATTCAATGTTGTGACCAAGTGAAATATGAATCTGTCATGAAATAATTCCAAGTACAACCATAAATGCCTTTGGATATCGAAAACAATTTACATCTTTCCATTCTTCTTTCTGTTCTTCTTTCAGTTGTTTCAATTGATGTATTTTGAAACACGATCCTTGTGTTTTTCTCTTGTTATAGGATTATAGGCTCTGACCTTATCCCTGGAGTTGACTGAACCAATACCTTTTAAATGGTGAATCCAGTCTGTGTTTTGCAATATGTTTGAGAATGAATGAACCTGCTGTAAGAAGCATTTGTGTGCTTTGGGAATGAAGACATCTTTTCTTTTCTTTTTTTTATTTAAAAAAAAAAAAAAAACTCTTCTTCAGAATCATTTTGCAGTTTTGTCTGGTAACCATAAAGATATTATATCTCATCTGATGTTGGTTTAGCACATAACTCATTTTCAAGCAATTAATAGCCCCAAAGTTAAAGTACCTGCAATTTGTTATTTGTTAGCTTCAATTATTTTATGTTCTTGCTGTTTCAGGCTGGATACAATGGGGGCAATTCGACAGACATTTTTGGCAAAACATCACAAAAATATTTGGCATCTTTTCACCAGCCCATGGTTGCATGGGGGGATTGTCCACCTTATTATTAACCTTTCCAGTGTTATCTTTGTTGGAATTCACTTAGAGCAAGAATTTGGACCACGTAAGCATTCATTTTTTTTAATTTTATTTAGTTTCACCAAGGGAGAATTTATTGAGGACTGACTTGTTCCAGAAATTGAACCACCTTCTTGTTTTTGTTTTTTGGCAGTTAGAATTGCGATTATCTACGTATTCTCTGCTTTTAGTGGTAGTTTTGTGGCATCATTATTTCTCCTAGACAGATCATCAGTTGCTTCATCCGGTGCTCTATTTGGATTGCTAGGTGCCATGCTTTCAGGGCTTACCCGAAACTGGAAGTTTCACAGCAACAAGGTTCTTCAACTTTTCAACCCACCCCCTCAATATTTCCTTGTATCCACAGGACTTGTCATTGGCTGTTGATGCCTTTGTTTTATTGCAGCTTTCGGCTCTTTTAGCCATTCTGTCTATCTCAGTGATCAATCTTGCACTTGGTCTGCTACCTTATGTGAACAATTTTGCAAATATTGGAGGATTTATATCGGGATTCCTTCTTGGCTTTGCGCTCCTATTCAATCCTCTACTTGGGAAGATGGCTCAAAATAAAGGAGGTTTATTTGAATATGATGTCAAATGTTCTGTCAAACTCAGGCAGAAACTGGACAAGCCTGTGCTGAGGACTGTTTCTCTTGTTCTTTTCAGTCTTCTGTGAGTTCATTTTTATTTTTTTATATTTGTTTGTATAACATGTTATGTTTCTGCATCATATAGTGTTGGTTTTTTTAGACGGGATCTTATAAGAGGAGTCTCTTCAATATGCAGACTTGCAGGGGTTATTGTTGCAGTTCTTCATGGCGTAAACGTGAGCAAGTACTGTGGATGGTGTCAATATGTTGACTGTGTTCCCTCCAAATGGTGGAGCTGCAATGACAAACCAATGCATTGCGAGGTATATTCTTAAGTCAGAACTTTAAGATGACATTTGAATAAGCAACCTATATGAGCAGAAAAATACAAAAATGATAACACACTGAAATGTGAATGCCATTTTTTAAGAGATAAGAAGTAATTTAATTTCTAGCATGGTAAATATTGCTCAACATGCCATTCTAAAAGATAATTTCAAATGCAGTCTTATTTTTGTCCTTGTCGTGCAACTAACATCTGGCGCCAGACAGCTGAAAATCCATTCTTATTTTAGCCTTTTTATTTTTATGGTAAATGCAGACAGAGGTAACAACAGGGCGGTTGACATTGACTTGCGAGGGTAGTGACAAGTTCAGGGTTTTCCCTTTCACTGACATCTCACAAGCGAGGATTGAGGACTTGTGCAATCTGATATGCTCATAGAAGAACCCTTAACCCTGTGTGAGAATTGTAAGAAAGCTTTTCTCCACTTTGAGAAAACTAGTTATAGTTAGAGTCTCTGTAATGTGTTTGGATGACAATCCATCTTGATATTGGTAACTCTGTTAGCATTCATGTAAAAGAATTGTATAAAAGAATTGGTTCATGAAAACAATGAAAAGTCATTTGGGCATTAAAATTTCAAGTTAGAGGAAAAAAAATTCATTTTTTTTCTGAGTCGCAAAAGGTTGTGACATTTACATTTAATAGTTTTTTTTTTTTTTTTTTCAAAAGAATAAGAACGCTTTCTTTTGTTGGAGTTATTGTGAACGATTGTTTGACAATGTGATCATACTTCATACTTGATTATTGTGGGACTAGTTGTAGTGATGAAATAAAGCAAATATGAATATGAACAAAGATGATTTTCGCATAATGAAAAGCATACACGAGATAAAAGGTGTGTCTCACATATAGTGTCTACAGTGTGGGACTCATCATATGTATCACATTTGTGTCTTATTTTGTAAAAATCATTTATGCACTTAGATTTACTCATTTATTTATGACTTGAGCAAGTAGTTAATACATATTCCCACAAAAGAATGAGGAACTAATGCTGTGTTTGGTTGGAGGATTTGGAGAGAGATTTGGAAAAGGAAATGGAAAAAGCAGGTGAAAGGTGAATATATCATGTCTATATTTCACATAGTTTCACACACCTTTTCCCTTTCCCTTTCCAAATCCCTCCCCAAATCCCCCACCCAAACACAACATAAAAGTTAATACATAGTAACCAGTCGTTTTTAATGATAGGGTCTACAGTGTGGGACTCATCATATGTATCACATTTGTGTCTTATTTTGTAAAAATCATTTATGCACTTAGATTTACTCATTTATTTATGACTTGAGCAAGTAGTTAATACATATTCCCACAAAAGAATGAGGAACTAAAAGTTAATACATAGTAACCAGTCGTTTTTAATGATAGGAAGACGACAAATGTTAGCAATTAGTTTTTCTGAAACATTCAACCTGCTGCTAACCAAGGAATATATGTGTCTATAAAATTGAAAACACTTTAGGATCTGTTAACTATCACTTTCATTTTTGATGTTTTTTTGTGTTTTCAAAAACAAATACTGCAAAGTTTGAAAATACCCTACATTTTCATTTCTATGTGAATATTTTTTCAAAGCAAAACAAATTAAATGATAGGGTGTTTTCAGAAATAACAATACTATGGGCTATTTTGGAAATATCCTAAAATAGTCAAAAATTCACTAAAAAAAAATCAACTCTCGTCCCTACTTTTTTTACACGTCTTTTTGTAAATTTTTTTTAATTAAATTAATTAAAATAACTACTTCCCAAAATAATCTTATGCAACAAAAAAATGAAATAGCCTAAATCAAAATTATTTTAGATGTGGTCAATACAATACCACGTTTCAATTTATATGATATAATTCATTTTCAGAGTACATAATATGTTCCATTTTAAATAATAATAATAATTTTTTGATTTCACAAAAAAAAAAAAAAAAAAAAAAAAAAAAAAAAAAAAATCAGAAATGGTAACCAATATAAGGCCTTGTTTGCCATAATCTAAAAAATGACAAAAAGTTAAAAAGTCACTATCTTATTTAAGTCACATCAATTCTCTACCATATCACTTTAAATCCAAACCATACCCGACCCATATTTGTAGATCATCTTCTTTCTCATGTCTCCCCCATTCATTATTTTTGTTTTTTCTCCCAATATTTATTTTTTAAAACTTTATTGTTATTACTATATAATTTCATATTGAAAGATTGAAGCACAAGCGCGCCCATGGCCTAATGGATAAGGCGTCTGACTTCTAATCAGGCGATTGTGGGTTCGAGTCCCACTGGGCGTGTGATTTTTCCCTTTTTTGGGCCAATTTGGAGAGCCCAAACAATACTTTCTAACAATACGCTCTGCTGGCCCAATTTTGCCAGCCCCAAAATGCTTTTAATTTTTCACTTATGATAAAAATAATTTGTTTGGTTATAGTTTTTCAAAAATACTTTTCAGAAAATTTTATTTTCTTATTTTTTTTATTTTTACTGAATTTTTTTAATATTTTAAGTAATTTTTTTTTATAATTTTTTTTAGACATACTTAACATAAATATACCTAAAAAGTAAAAAATTTGTGAATTTTTTTTTTAAAAATTTACTAAATACCAAAAATATAAAAAAAATATGAGAATTCAGTATATTTTTTTGTATTTATTAATTTTTAAAAATATTTTTTCACAATTTTTTTACTTTTTAGATACATCTAAGTAAGGTTCATATAAAAAAGTAAAAAAAATATTTAAAAATTTAAAAATATTCACTAAAAACAAAAAAAATACGAAAATAAAAAAATTCAGTTTTCAAAAAACTTAATTCAAAAAACTCAAACCAAACACACTGTTTGATATTTTAAAAGCTAAACATAAAATTTAAGTATAAATTACAAATACACTCCCCGAGATTTTAAAATGAATGGCCTCCCTATGATTTAGAAAATTACAAATATTCCTTGTTAAAATTTTTTATTTAACAGAATTAATTAAAAAAAATAAAATTTGTAATTGCTTTCTTATACAATAATAAAATTATTTAGATTATTAATTAAAATAAATTTCTGACACTATTAAAATTTATTAATTAATTTGTTGATTTATTAATAAAAAAGTTCATTTGTTACGAAATTAAAAATTACAAAAAAATAAGGCGTAATTTCTAAAATCACAATGAGGCAAATCATATTTTAAATATACCTTATATGGTTTGTATTTATAATTTATCTATTTTTTAAAATCTATTTATAAATTATAAACTTTTTAAGCCTATGGCAACTTCTATTTTGAGTTCTTTGACACCACTGGAACTAAGCCAAACTCAACAAAAACTATGGCAAGGCAAGGCTAGGCTAGGCCATTATTATTATTTTAAATTTAAAAAATGTTTGGTAGCTTAAAATTTTGTGGCTTAAGTGGCTCAAATGGCTCAAATTTGTTAAAACGACGTCGTTTTGCACTCATTTACACTCAAAACGACATCGTTTTGAGTGATTTGAACCACAAAATTTTAAGTTACCTAACATTGTTATTTAAATTTTTTGGGGGTGATTATACGAGTGAGGCTAGGCCTTGGAGTGGTTCGATTTCATAGTTGTAAAACTTTAAACATCCTTTCGAACTTTTGTGATATATTAGTGATTGGACACTTATTAATACTATAATTATACTTTAATAAGTGATTTATCATAAATTATTAATACTATAATTATGTGTCTCTTAAATTAATATGTGATATATATACAAAGAATAGATATTTGTATGTATAAATTGATCTGTATCTAAAATACAACTAAGTAATGGAATGAATACATACTCGGCTGAAGAATTTAAATGATAAATGAAAAATTTTATAAATATAAATATTAATTTATAGCTAGATTGTTGAAATCACAATCTTATCTTAAAAAATAAACAATAAGCAGGTCATTTAAATATATAGTATACACAAATATTTTTCCATTAACTTTTCACTTCAATTTTTCATAATCCATACATGTAATGCAATTGAAAGTATGAAATTAATTGCATAATTACACAATATTGTTTAATAGTTTATCTCATAATACAAATTCACTCCACTATGCATATTATTTGCATACTATTGATGTAAAAATGTATTAATATTAACATATAATTATTTTTATATATCAAGAGTTGTTGAGTCTCGTTTCTTGTGATACAAATATCTTACATGATGAAAAATATAACATTAGTCATTAGAATATTTACATTTATGTAGAAAATGTAGAATGGTTTTTTTAAGAAAATGGAATGATATTGTAGCTTAATATTTCGGTCGATATAGAAATTTCATAATTATTTTCATGATATTTATAGATCTATGTATATAAGTGTTTACATGATCACTTTCATGAAATGTCAAATTACATAATTTATTATGGCATCTGTAAATAATGAGCATATAATAAAAATTGATTGAAAATTTTTATTTGATGTACTTACTTTTTGTATCATTGAATTGTTGCGATAATGTTCAGGCATTGTAGACGCCCCATTTTGACCGGCATTAAGACTTGGGCGTTTTCTTCCAAACACCTGATGATGAAAATTGAAATGTGCTATTTTACGAATTTCTCAGCAGAAAAGTCAGGTTTAAGCTTTAATTCCAACATTACACCTGTTTTGGTCAAATTATTTTTGACCTATTCAAAAGTATTTTTTTGATTTTTTTCTTTTCTGAAAAATTTAGCATTTTCGGAAAAAAATCAGCTCTCATGCTACATGGTAGGCCACATGGTTTTGAGATACCACATAGCAAGCTATGTGTTTTTGGAAATATCATATGGTTAGCCATGTATTTTGGTGATTCAAAAATCTTATGAATACTACATCATTTTGTGTTTGAAAAAGAGAAAAGAGAGAAAATTTTGAAAAAGAAAATTTTGTTTAAAAAAAAGAGGCTAAAAGATGTGAAAAAAAAAAGAGGAGTTGGAGAGAATCAACAAGAAGGAGAGGAGCTTAACGTGGAAAGAAAAGAAACAAAAAGAAAGAAAAGAAAAAAAAAAGAAAGAAAAGAAATTGTTTTTAAAAATTCTTGAGGGAATTGTTTCTTAAAAATCAGAATTTGTTTTAATTAACTTTTTTATCCACCAATATACATCATTCACAACTCCATTAATGCTAAGACTTGAATTTCTAGCTAAGATTTCAAAGCATACACCATAACTATGACGGTGTAAAGAAGAAAGTTTGATAATCAGAAAATTCATCATTTCCTCCAAAAGGTGAATTTTTACAATCTTCTCATTTATTTTCTTATATTTTCTTTATTGTTTTAAGTATGTGATATTTAAGTTGTGGAAATGGAAGGCCAAACATCTGTTCCTTAAATTTCTTTTCATTTATTTTCTTTACTGTTTTAAATATGTGATATTTAAGTTGTGGAAATGGAAGGCCAAACATCTGTTCCTTAAATTTTTTTTCATTTATTTTCTTTACTATTTTAAATATGTGATATTTAAGTTATGGAAGTGGAAGGCTGAGCCTTTGTTTCTTAGATTTTGTTGTAGAATATATGTTTAAATATGTGATAGAAAAACGTGATTTAAGTTGGTTGAGATGTAATATAAAAATGTGATTTAAGTTGGTTGAGATGTAAT